GCGACCCTTGGCCAGTGTGAGCCTCAGTCTCCTTGCCCAGCGGGGGGCAGGCCGGTCTCCTGGGCTATCCTGAGCAGGCCACAGAGGCCTAGGAATGGAGGGGGCAGCCCCGGGGGCTCGGATGCCGAAGGACACACGTCTCCTCCCACGGGCCCCCCCCCCCCCCGTGCCCCTGCTTCCCGAGAAGGCTGTGTGTGGGCACGTAGGAGCTCCGGGTCTGGGCCCCAGGTCTGGGCCGTGCTGCAGGATCCGAGGCATCCCCGGGGAGCCCCAAACGCCAGCTGCTACGGGCCAACCCCAACCAGGCTGGCCCGAGTCTCCCCAAGGCTCCCTGGGGCGCGGCCCTGCCCACCTCCCAGGTCCTGCCCGCAGCCCTGCCCGCCAGCCAGGCCTCCCGCCACCCCACACTTGCCCTCTCACATTCCCGGCCTGGCACGGAGGGCGCGGGGCTGGCACGCAGCCCTCCCCCGCCCTCCCTGGCAAAGGCCTCCGGCTCAGCTCAGGCCTCGGCTCCGGTGTCAGCCCTCGGGGAAGTGTCCCCAGGCCAGGCTGCCTGGCCCCCGCCCCAGGCCAAACCCTCTGAGGGCAGCAAAGGGCTCCCTGGGGCTGGGGGACTGGGCGGTCACCGAGCCTCAGGGATGAATTGCGGGGACAGGGTTTGAGGTTCAGACCCCTCAATCCGTCCAACGGGACCCCACCACCAAGTCCTCCCCAGGGAAGACTTAGCACATGGGGGCCTTGTCCGGTCCTAGCGCCGGCCCTCTGGCCCCTGTCATGCCACGCCAGCGCAGAGAAGGCCGCCCTGTCCCTTCCGGTCACTGCAGGGGGCAGGAGATGGATGGCGACCCTGCTCTGCCATCCCCGTCCCTGCTGTGCGTGGGTCCTCCTGGAAACGCGCTGCCTCCCCCTGGGGCTCGCGGCCTCCCTGCCTAGTACCACCCGCCTTGGTCGGGGCTCAGGGCGGCCTGTGCTGGTCCTGCCCCTGGCCCCCAGGCTGAGTGTGCGTGGGGCCATCACATGGAGGCGGCCAGCGTAAAGCAGCTCACACGCCCACAGAGCAGGTCCGGGGACGTGCTCCTGGCCCAGCCCATGCCCCGCCTCGGCTCCTTTCGGAACTATCTGCAACCTCCCCACCTCCAGCTCCCACAAACACACCCCTGCTTGCCTCAGGCCAGATCCTGTCTCAGCTCAGGTGACCACTGCCTCCAGGCGGCCCTCCCTGCTCTACTGGGCAGGCAAGGGCTCACGACGTCCTGCTACACGGAGGGCTCTACCTGCTGAGTGCCTGGTTGCTCCTGTGGACAGACTTCGGTGCATTCCCTCTGGCTTGACACCCAGGCCCCAGGCCTCCGTATCAGACGACCACTAACCAGTTCCATCAGCGCCTGGGCTTCCCTTACAAGGGAGCGGGAGCAGAAGCAACACACGCCCCCTGTCAGCAGACACGGCACATCAGTGCGTGCTTCAGCCTCGTGGGGCTCGGAGCAGCTGGCCCCAGCCAGCCCCCCAGGGGCCCCTCACTTTGGGGAAACGGCCCCAGACAATCTGGACAGCGCCTTTCCGTGAGGCGGTCCCAGTGCTGAGAAGGGGCCTGGGCTCAGGAGCCAGTCCCCGGGGCTGGGGTTCGGCACGTACCCCAGGCTGCCAAACGGGCCACGGGGCCTCTGCAGAGAGGCAGAAAGTAAAACGAAAGCACGTGGCCTGTGTAAAAACACTGCGGAGCTGAAAACAATGATTGGAATTTGGAACAAAACAAGAACAAAAACAGCCCGTACTCCAGGCTCTGGAGTCCGTGACCCCTGCCCTCCCGGGGCTCCCCTGCTGGGGCGGAGAAACCCTGAGTGCTTGGTGCCTCCCTTGGAAGCACCATGAGGCCCGAGGCCTGGGAGCTGGGGCCCCACCCAGACCAGAGGGCCGTGTCGAGCCAGGCGGGGCTTGCCAGATGTGCGGGGGGGGGGGGGGGGGGGGGGGGGGGGGGGGCCCTGCACTTGAGCTGTGAAAAAGAGCACGCCGCCTCCTCGTGATGTAAAACCCATCTGGAGGCAGGGCAGAAAATGCACGTTGGAAGGGCCTCCAGGGGCCATCTGGTCTACCACGCTCTGTCCCCCAGGGGGACGGGGGGCTCTGGGGGAAGTGTTGGGACACACAACTTCCACCGGTGGAAGCCAACCAGCACCGGTGACCAAGCAAGACCAGCATGGGCACCTTCAGGCGCCAGTTCTCGGGGTCCTTCTGGAAGCCCACACTGGGCCCTCCCGGTGCCTGGCCAGGACTCTGCGGCTGCCCGAGCTCCACCCCCGGAACACGAGCAACACAAACAGAGTCGGTTCCAACACGTCCCGGTCCCCTGCACACGCCAGCCCCCAGGGATGCCACATGCAGACAGACTTCTGGCAAGGAGCGCACAGAATCCTAACAGCCCTCCAAAGTTCTGCCGAGGCCTCCAGAACCCCCCTGGTGGTCCCAACAGGAAGGTGTGGCCAGGGCGGGTCCCGGGCCACCTCCTCGCCAGTTGACAACTCACACCCAGGCACTGCTCACGCCACAGCACCTGGCCACCCAGGTGCTTATGGAGAAGCAGTGAACAGCCCAGCCTCAGCGGGCGGGCAGCCGGCCTGCAGGGCCCAGAGTGGCCGAAAGCCTGGGCAGGCAGAGGCCCTAGCAAGGCGGGCTAAGTGTTTTTACCTTTTTTTTGGGGGGGTGGGGGCACACCCTGCAATGTTCAGGGGTTACTGCTGGCTCTGCACTCAGGAATTACTCCTGGCAGTACTCGGGGGACCATATGGGATGCTGGGGATCGAACCTGGGTCAGCCGCGTGCAAGGCAAGTGCATTCCCCACTGTGCTACTGCTCGGGGCCCTGAGCTGCTCTGTGAGGAGCAGGGACGAGGGGGAAGCTGCTCCCCAGTCCCCCGTCCTGGAGCTGCCTGCTGCTCTGTGAATTCAGTGCCACCTTTGGGGCAGTCCTAGTCTGAAGATGGGGCGGGTCTACAGAGACAGATGTTGGCCACAGCTGGCCCGGCCAGTGCAGGCAGACTCCTTGGTTCCCTCCAGCCGCTGTGCTGGCCCGGCCAGGCGAGGCCACGTGGGGAAAGGAGCGAAATTGTTGGCGGCAGATAAAACCCTTGATAACATCTCTACTTCCCTGCCTGTATCAGAGTGGCTGCTGGCAAGACAACTGGGGGGCGGGGGGGGGCGGGGGGGGGGTGCACAGCCCGCAATCAATTGCTAATATTCACGCTGGGAACAGCGGCCTCTGAAAGCAGACACCCACGGCCTCCGCCCAGGGAGCGAAAGCGTTTCCCTCCACGGTGACCCTGCCACGCCACTTGGCCTCAGGAACGTCAGCTCAGAAAGCAGAGAGTTCCCCGGCTTCCAGCTCGATGGTCCCACTCTGACTCCCTCCAGCCCAGGGGGTCCCCACTGCTGAGCCACACCCCTGGAGGACCCTGAACTCGGCTCCCTGTGGCGTGGGGAGCGAGCCACACCATGCTCCACCGCAGAGCCCGACCTGAGGAGCCCACAGCAACCACGGCAGCTGGGTAAGGACAGCGTCGGTCTCGGCTGCCGACAAGCACGCCTGGCCTCAAGCCTCAGCCAGGGACCATCAGACCGGGGCCAGAAGCCGGGGGAGCCGCTTACCAGACAAAGCAACAGCTCCTCAACCAACCACAGTGGGCAGGGAGCACCTCAGCCCCCAACACGGCTGACCCTGGGCACTCGGGGACCAGCGAGCAGCCACGTGGCCACGCACGGGAGACATTGCGAGACGCCCTGCGTGGCGGCAGCTGCCTCCTAGGAGAGGGTGGCTGGGTTCACTGCTCGGTCCCCCGGCTAGTGCAGACTCAGGGACGTTTGGGTAGCCATCCCCATAACACACTGGGGCATGAGGGGGAGAGAGGAGGGGGCCAGGGCCAGTGGCTCAGGGCGTGGGCTGGGCCCCGGGTGGAAGGGAGTGGACGCAGTTCCACAGATAAGTGTGCGTTCCAGGCACGTCTGAGGCTCAGCTTGGGGGAAGGCCCAGGAAACAGGAAGAAGGGGCAGAATAACAGAGGGGGGGGGAGGAGAGAGAGAGAGAGAGAGAGAGAGAGAGAGAGAGAGAGAGAGAGAGAGAGAGAGAGAGAGAACCCCAGGAACCCTGGCTTCCGTGGGCCCGGGACAAAGCAGGCTGGAGTCCTAGAGTGGCCGCCTCTCTGCTTCAGAGGAAGCCCCTTAACGTATCTGCCCGGGCCGTGGGCCCTGACCTCTGCTGTCGGCCCTCCTGCTGGGCAGCCTCAAATGGCCCTGACCCACTGAGTTTTCAGGAATCACCTGCCTTTGCAAGTACGGAGGTGAGGGGCATCTTACTCAGCCAAGAGATCGGGAAGTCAGCACTTGGCGGGGGTCGCCCCCACTGAGTTCGCTCAGCCCCACAGGGCGGCACCGTGCCCCTCCCCCCACACCCCAGCAAAGTGGAGATGAAACGTGGGGGCGGGTGTCCTTAACCCTGACAGAGACACACCCGCAACGGGCTCTCAGCCCACACGCGCTACTGGGGGACACTGGCACCGTTCATGCCTGCACCCGGAACCGCAGAGCCAGCCAGTGGGCAGGGGAAGGGAAGGGAGGCCGCGGCCGCCGGGGTGGGGTGAGCGGGGCCTGGTCCGCACGGCCCTGCCCCAGCGTTCATGGTTCGGGCCACACAGCAGCCACTCGGCACAACGGACTTGCTTCCAAACACCAACAGCGAAACTGCTCCCAGACAGCCGTGCGGGGAAGAGTGCTCACAGACGCCCAGGGAAGGGACAGCGGGGCCCAGGGCAGGCGGTGTGGCCCCAGCCTCTGCGAGGGGTCGGGGTGGGGGAAGGGCCGAGCCCGCATGAGCAGCTGCATTTAGACCATGGTAAACCGGAGCGGCCTCCCCCGCTCAGCCTCCTGCCCACCCGCCCGCCCACCGGGGGCCTGGCCTGGAGGGGGTGCTGGTACCCAGGGACGGCGCACGCACGGGGACCCGGCACATACCTGGAAGAAACCGGGTGGGATGGGGCCCCCTGGCATCCCGTCGTTGGGGGGAATGTTGCCAAGCACGGGGCTCGGGGCAGCAGCTGCGCTCTGTGGAGAGGAAGGAGCAGAGTCAGGGATGCCCTCGGCCTCCACGTCCCCGCGAGCCCCCCGCCCCCCTGTGCTCCAAGGCCAGCTCCCCAACAAGGGTCCGTCTCACTGGCAGGACTGGGGGAAAAACTCAGAGCTGCCCTTTCCTTATGGCTAATGGGGGAAGGGGGAGGGAGGCGGTGGGGGGGGCCAAGGCCACGAGCCAACGAGCACGAGACAGCTGCCCCACTGGGGGCCTGGGCCCGGGGGGCCCCTGCGTGCCACGGGAGGTCCTCATGGAGGCGAGGTAGGCCCACTGTGGGGCCAGGACGCTCCTCCAACGCGGCTGTTCTGCCGTTTGCCTGGTACATCTGCCCTGACAAAGGCCCCCCGGGGGCGAGCAGATGCAGCAAGCCCCAGCCTGCCCCCTGCCAGGCAATCTGCGTCCCGCCTGGCACGCGGCCCACATGTCTGTGCCCGGGCCCTGTGTGTGTGTACGCCCCCACCCCCACCCCCACCCACACCAGGTGTGGCCCTGAGCTGAGAACCAAAGCTCTGGTTTCCAAGCCTGCCAGCAGGACCTACAACACGGGGTGAATCCATGAACAGACCCAACAGAAAGTTGGGGGGAGGGAGGCGGGTGTCTGGGCCGAATGGATGGTGCCACAGGGAGGGCACTGGTTGGGCTGGGTTCGATACAGTCCCATGAACCCTGCCAGGAGCGATTCCTGACTGTTAGAGCTGGGAGTGACCCCTGAATACCATCGGGTGTGACCCAAACAACCCCCCCCACCCCCCGCAAATAAGCGGGGAGTTGCATCACTGTGGTGCTGCCGCCAGGGCCCACGGCCAACGGGACACGAGCCGGTTCTGACGAAGGGCAGGAGGGACCCACACCTGGCAGTGATGGGCCTGGCCCCACGGTGCCCGCAGCCAAAGCCCACATTCCGGTCCGGTCATTTCCCAGGCCGTTTTATAAACTGCAAACACGCCCTGAAACTGCAAGCTATGAGAGGCCGGGGGTGCTTGAACTGGCCCCATAAGAAGAATGGGCGGGGGTAGGGGGGCTGGGAGTCTCCGGCGGAGATTTCAGAGTGGTTCTGCCGGCAGACCCAATTCTGCAAAGTCCTACTACAACGGACATCACGTTGACCGTGCGCAGATGGCCCGGGCTCCATGGGCCCACACCCTAAGCAGGCTGTGCCCCCAGACCAAAGGGAGGAGCCGCCACCAGGGTTTGCCGTGGTCTGCCATGAAGACGAAGCTTTTCCAGAAGGACGGCCACCTCGGCAGCAGGAGTCGGTGAGAGCGACATGCACAGCTACCTCTCTCCTGTGAGCTCCTTCACTAAACCAGTTTACACAGAACGCTTTCATTTTTCAAGTACTTTGGTAAAAACACCACAAACTTCAGTTAAAAAAATAATAAATTTCCTACTGAAAATAGTCGGCGGCCTCCGTCTAGCCCCTTCCCCCCGGCTGTGTGGCCTGAATAAAGAATAAAATGTTCGCCAATGGCCAGGAGGCGGTACAGTGGTTAGCGACACGCCCAGGTTCAATGCCCAGCACCCCGGGTTCCCCTGGACAGTGCCGGGGTATGGCCCTATAGCCCACCACAGGAGAGCCTGAGAGTATCGCAGTCCGGGACCTCCTGAGCAGCATTTGGGAGGGTGCCCCCCCCAAAAAAAAGAATTTCCACAGAGGTGGGTCTGTGATAAACCCTTGGGTTCCACCCTGCATATCCCGCCTCCTCGCAACCTCACCATGAGACGTCCACGCTTGGCTTCATCGACACCCTCAGCTTCTGTTTTGTTTTTTAATTGAGGCGCCTTGAGACGCAGTTACAAAGTTGCTCATGATGGGGTTTCAGTCCGGTAATGTTCCAGCACCCGCCCCTTCAGCAGCAGCATCCCCGCACCAATAACCGGCTCCCTCCTGCCAGCCCCCTCCACGACAGCCACTCTTCATCCCTCCCCCTCCCTTCCCCCACACCCACGCTCTGCAGCCCCCTCAGTTCTGGAAGAGATGCTTTCAGTTACTTGTGTGTCGACTTATCCCTCCAAACTTGCAACTGCTGTCACCACGACTCCAGGCGGGGCGGGGGCTGGGCTGGGGCGGGTGGCAGAGTGCGTGCCCTACGTGGACAAGCCAGGCCAGGTGCCTGGACACCACACACACGCACCCCTCCCATCGCCTCTGCCACCCATCTATTTTTGTTTCTAAACAAACTACGAAGCAAGACCAGGAGAACTGACATCTTTCCAGAACACAGGCACAGCCCGCCCAGGCCGGGCCAGGCTTCGCTGCTCACTCACGTCGAGGCTGGGATGGACAGCCAGACACGGCAGGAGGGTTAGGACCACGAGCAGGGGAGGAAGCAGGCGGCAACCCTCAGGAAACCAAACCACACCCCCGCACTGACTAGCTGGGTGTGTGTTTGTGTGTGTGTGTGTGCGCGCGCGCGCGCGCGTGCGCACACATGCATGTGTGTGTGTGTCTGTGCGTGTTGGAGGTTGGTGTGTCTGTGTGTTGCAGGTTGGGGCTGTATGTCTGTGTCGGGGGTTAGGGGGTGTGTGTGCGTGTATGCTGGGGGTTGGGGTTGTGCATGTATTCATGTTAGGGATTGGGATGTGTGTGTGCTGGGGGCTGGGGCTCTGTGTGTATGTGTGTGTTGGGGGTTGGAGCCGTGCAGTGCATGTGTCCATACTGGGGGTTGGGGTGTGTGTGTGTGTGTGTATCTGTCTGTGTAATGGGGGTTGGGGCTGTGTATGTGTCCGTTATTGTGTCTGTTGGGGCCACATGTGTTTGTGTACTGGGGGTTTGGGGGTGTGTGTGTGTGTATGAATCTGCGTCTATGTTGGGGGTTGGGGCTGTGCATGTGTCCATGTTGGGGGTTGGTATGGGTTTGTGTGCTGGCGGTTGTGTGTGTGTGTGTGTGTGTGTGTGTGTGTGTCTCTGACCGACTGACTGACTGAGGCTGGGGTGGGCTGCTCCCAGTCCTTTGCCCCAGGAACATGAGGAACACAAGGTGTCAGGAAGTGAGTCCGCGTCTGTCACAGGCAAAGCAGGCCCCAGGCTATGGAGTGTCCCCCAGCCCTGACAAGGAGTTTTCTCCGGGTCCCAGGGAGAGGCAGGGAAGGACGAAGCTCGCCCAGGACAGGAGCGGCGCAGTGTGGGAGGGGCGTGATTGCACCCTGCGCCCTGAGCCCCCAGCTGGCCCGAGTGTGCCGCGTGCAGCCCCACTGGCAGGCGTCCCTCCTCGTCCCGCAGGAAACCGGCTGTGGAGAAAGAGCTAGACTTTTGCCAAGCTGCGTCTTTAAATCAGCATCGATCACGGAGCATGCGACACTCGCCTATTCCAGAACCCGGCCAAGAGGAAGGGAGTCACTGAGCTGAGCTGAACAGGGTCACAGCCTGTTCCCGTCTCAAAGGCCGAAGGACACAAGCGTGCACTGTGCCTAATGGCAGATTCTTTTCTCTTTCAAACTTCTTCTTCCCTTATCTGCTTTGTCTTTGCTCAGGTCGTAAGTCCTGGCTCTGGTCCCAGGGCTGCTCCTGGCTGCGCCCGCCGTGCCAACGCCGGGTGGCACTGAGCGGGTATCACTGTTCCACCACCTTAACCAGCTTCCAAGCTGCTTGCTGGCTGGTGGCTGCAAGCCATCTATCTCCCTTTGGTGCCGGGTGTTCTGAGCCACCGTCTGCCAATGGTTTACCTGGACTATCTGGAGATCGACCTTCGTGGTAAGACGTACTGTGGGTGTTTGCTTGTAATTAAAAACAAAACAAAGCTTCCGAATGAGAGCCTGAACCTAGGGATGCCACGGGAACGCGAGCAGCTCCTGAGATCTGGGCGGTGGCTGTGAGGTCCACCCGCCTTCGAAGGTCTGGGCTGAGGACCCCACGGTTCTGGTGAGTGGACGCGGGTCCTGGCAGCAGTACAGAGGAGACATGTCCTGTCACTTACAGGTGCTCCCCAGCCCGTTTGCACCCCGGTGACAGGGACGGCGGGTCAGGCCATCCAGCGAGTGCTCCCAACGGAAACTTCCAGATGGGGTAGGGGGAGGCGGACAAGACAGTACAGCAAGTAAGCACTGGCACTTGCCTTGCATGTGGCCAGTCAAGGTTTGATCCCTGGTACCTCATACGGTTCCCCGAGCCCAGAGCCCGGAATCAGCCCGGAGCAGGCTGGGGCTGCAACCCGAACAGAAACGGGGGGGGGGGGGGGGCCGCGGGAGACGGAGGGGGGGAGAGAGGGAGAGAGGGAGGGGCAGGCAGAGTTCCCTGGTTCATGAGCCCTCATACATGAGACCCCCAGAGCGGTGTGGTCCCACGTGGACTGTGGGCCGTCCCCTATCCCCAAGGCCCAGCACAGAGCAGGCGGCCATTAAGTGACCAGGCTTCTCCACAGAGCTCTGCCCCCATGTCAGGCACTGGAGTTGTATGCGAGCTCCCGGGAGTTTCCGCTCTGACCCGAAACCCAACCTGGAAGGAAGGCCACCCCCCACCCCCAGCATTCACTGACGCCTGCACCTGCAGCAGATGAGAAGCGGTGGGGGGCGGTGGGGGGGGGAGGGGGCTCAGGGGCTTCCCCCAGAGGGAAAGAGGCGGGATTCCGCGATGGGAGTCAGCAAACAAGCCCCTTCTTGCTGAGCCTCAGTTTCCCCAAGTGTCGCAGATGTGAGCTCAGAGGAGAAGGCCTCTAGGTGCTTCTTCCAGGCTGCCCCCACAGCCCTGGGGACATGCTGTCCAGGCAGGAGAGGAGGAAGCACAGCCCTTGGGTGGACATCAGCGATCTCTCCCCGCCCCCCCCCCACACCCCACCCCCAACCCCACACCCGGCCCCTCTTGCCAATGCCGACCCACACATATGGGCAAGGACTCCAAAAGCAGAATCCACCGGCCATGCAGTTTGGTCTAACAACTTCTGCCTTTTGAAAACCTAAGTTAAAATTCTTTTCCAAATAAAAAACAGGCCTTGCTTTGGGGGCCATGCCTCCTCTCAGCCTCCAGGGGCAATACCAG